GCTGGAAAAATTGATAAGATGAAAGAGTTATTACTTAATTTTATTACTATAATATAATCGTCTTCATTAACATTAATAATTTGTAAAGTAATACACCATGATCAATACTGTATGACTGATGTTATCATCATAATTTGTGATTATTTGAGAGTGAGATTTCGTTCTTAGAGTTGATTCCTTCGATCATGAAGTTGTCATTGTCTTTCTAGAAAGATACTTGTCTTGACTTATAAGTTATTTATCATTTGTATATACTCAGTTTAATTTATTTAATTGTAAAATGTTTACTGTTTGATAGTAAGCGGTGTCATACATTTATCTAGACTTCATAGTATAGACTGAATTATTTTAATCAATTCGCAAATGTGGACACTAGTGTCTAAGTGACTCAACATTTTCTGCATTGCTTTTTGACGTTGAATGGTTGGAGACAATAATCAGGATGCTCTATATAACTAAGTTTACTACTCAGTAATAGATTAACCACTGTTTCATAGTTTAAACTGAATAAAGTTCTACAATTTCCATAAATTCCCGTATATTAATGATAATCACACTCAGTTCCTGGAGTTCTGGTGAGAAGCTATAACCTATGGAGTTAAACTACGCCGGACGTGAGATAATCGCCCATTTCAGACAACAGATGACTGAAGTTAGATATGTACACAGTTAGATCTATAGGTTCAGAGTTTTCATGTATGACTGGAGGTTGTGGGTTTTATGCCCGGACGAGGGCTGGTAGATGGGCACTGTTAAGGAGTCCCGTAGTAGGACGAAACGGCCGTTTGGTGCTTCCAGATTTTCAGTGGTGGTCTATCTAAGACAAGTTTGTTATTCAAACTATACAAAAGCATTCTGTCAATGCTATGTGAAATCATCGCGAAATTTATTTCTGTTAACAAGTGGTAACTTGAATACTTTCTTTCATTTCGACCATGATAAACAATGAAAATTATATTTAAAAAATTCATTAGCATGACATATCGACAGAACTACTTTACTTCTTGTTCTGATTTAGGAAGAGTTGAATAATTTCCAAGGTATACTGGGTAACGAAAGAGCTTAACATAGATACTGCTGTAGTGAACGAGAGCACAAATAGGGACAATCAAGTGTATTTTGAAAAACTACAGAGCCTCTTGGTAAAATCTAGAAACCATACAGTAAATACTTTATTTGCAAAATGTCAATCAACTGTCTCATAATTGAATGTTCCTTCGTTTTAATATCAACCTCTCTCCGTTCCCGTTCTTTTTTCTTTGATGTTCTCAATTTGCCACCAGGCATTCCACCTTCGATTGGTGATACATACTACTTATATCTGTCGACATCAGTAACACACAACACACTACGTGTTTATGGCTAGTAATATGTTACTGAATAGATTATTTTTATGATTTTCTCCAACTTCTAACTTCAACAGTAACCCTCACAAACACAAGAAAGAAATATCACTATATCTTATATGACTTTAAGTTCATTCATATTCATTGCATTTTCGGATTCATAGATGAGTGTTTTTCGAAATACATAATGATAGTTTCTTCATTAAAATTGGGCATTCGCACACGTTACTTATCCTGATTTGATATGCTGAGATAAATATCGTTTTATAACGATTCGTACATCATGACCTTGATGTTGCTTTCTCGATCCTCTGTAGTATGAAAGTGAACCTTCCGAAAACTAATGAATTATTTAGTTATTACTACTATCAATAATAAAAGGAAAGAATCAACAGTCAATCATCGCCATTCTTATTGTGTATTTAATTTATAATCAAAGCAGTGAAGAAAAATAGGCATCCTCATTAAAAAAACAGATCAGTACGGACCATCTAAGTTACAACATAATGCTAAGGCGATCAGAAGATTGCTTAGCAATTTGTTAATAATGTTAAACTATCATTAATAATGTTAACCACGATTGCGTTTTTACTAGTTCCGTCTTTCATACGAACTTGGCTCCTTTCTGATTGGTTTCCGATTGAAAGTTATGCGTTTGTCACTAAATATATAAATACTGATTTGTACCATTTTCAAGTTGTTCTGGTTGAACATCGAGTTTCCCTAACACTTCGTCTTCTTCCTGCATTGAAGGAGAATTGTCCAGGTGTTCTGTGCCAGTTGCCCTTATCAAGTAAGCAACATGATTGGCTCAATCGTTCCTTCATAAGCAAACATTGGGGACTGACAACTAAAGGACGGAAAGGTCTCAATAACATGGTACTCGATACACTGAGACAAATATCTTGCTGTTATAATCTTGACTATTTCATTCATTTCGGCTAAAATGCTAATCTTTATCCATGTTATCCATGCTCATAAATTAACTAAGATGGGAAGCTGCGACTCGTGTAGTTAATCATTTTAATTGTGCGAAAATAAATAACTCGTGTATTATATTGGTAAAGTATTGTCAGTTGGTTAGTAAGTTATGATCAACATAGAGCTTGGGATAAGTATCTGTTAGCTCAAGTTGTCATGCCGCATATTATCCAAATGAGATAAAACTGGGATGATGTATGGTGGAAGCGATCGATAATAATGTTATAGTAATGACAACGATAAAGACTAAACATTGAGAATATGGTTCGCAAAAGCAGAATGACAAGATTTATGTAGAGGAATGAAAAATGAAGTTCAAGATATAGTATAAGATAAATAGTGAATGTATCTACGCTAACGTGAACGATTATCAGCCATATCATTCAAAGTCTCCAACCACTGGTCTTGGCAATTGCATGGATCCTAATTACATGGTCTGCATCTACAAACATGGGTCAGATCAACAGTCAGTGATTTCATGAACTGATGACGAGTTTTTGGTTAGGTAAACCCTAGCTTCCTTTGAACTTATTTCTACACCGTTAATACAGCATATCGACGTAGGTGATGGTAAGGGAAGCGTAACACATGTCTCAACCAGCTTAGAAAAAGAAAATTCACAGCCTAATCGATCGATAAGCACCACATTATAACATAAAGAGACTGAAGTTAAACTGTAGACCGACTGTATCAAAATGCAATAGCTTAATGATATTTTGGTAACAGCGGAATGCAAATCTTTGGGTTCGAGATCCCAATGTGAAGTCATTAATGAATATTGCGGAAATAATGACGTGAATTTTGTGTTAGCTGTTTAACCTTTCGCACATTACAGTGGTTTCCCAATTTATGCTACTCTATGACAAATAACCAAATCATTTACAGAATACATCTTTAGACTAGAATCTAAGTATTTCCACTTTATTAGTAAGATTTTTTCTTATGTTTCTTCAGTTTCTGCAAATGAAGATAAGATGTCCTAGAAGTAAACCGTCTTCTTTGTTTTAGTTTGATCCTGTTAATCTAAATCTCCATAGAATCAAGGATTTTTGTAGTTCTCTGAATTTTGATTCAGATATTAGAATCGAATAAGATACATGATTAGTGTGTCATAAAAAAACTTGATTATTGTTAAAACTAAGCTAACAACAACTTCACTAGTCCTTATACTGAATGTGGTGAAATTTATTGGAATCTAGATGGGTTGAAGTTTCTAACTTCCTACTCTATTGTTACTAATTTGTAATAATTTACAATGACATGTAGAAAGTTTCAGATGAATCGAAAAATAAGTCAAGCCGAGAGTAGAGAGAGTCCGCTCTCCTTCTCGAAATGATCTCACATGGCCACGCGTATATAGCCTCTGCCAGGGAAGTCCTACTCACTGCCTTCTCGCACCACGGTGTTGTTTACGAAATTGAGAGGACGAAAAGCGAATGTCCGGCGCTTTAACCGGATTCCAAACCAATGGTGCACATGGGCCCCAGTATCCTGCGGGAACAAATGGCGTATGAACCAATTGTTGGTCACCGGCTTCCATGGGACTGCATCTCCTTACGATGCTCACTGCCTTGTGGATCAGACCTTCAGGTAGAAGGCTCGGGGAGTGGCCCCCTAAGAAAACCACCTGTTTCGGTTCGGGTACCCGGGCAGTATCACAGCCCTCACACATATCGAATGAGATTTGTGTGACGCATATGTATTTGGTGCCTTCTTGTACCAATATCTATGTGTTAAAATACATAACAAGTAAATAAATACAAACCAATAAATATTTCTTTTAGAAATGTTATTATTATTATTATTTTTACCCTCAATGGTTCCTATCTTAATTTCATTCACTGTTATTGCAGGGGAATTCCATGTTGTATCCCCCAACAACAAAAATACATCCCAGCATACACGTTAAAAGCATTTTCTTATACACTTTATGAACTATAGACAATTAATTAATATCCTTGACTAGTCATTTTACTTGCCCAATCATGAAACTTTCCGAAGGTCAGACCAGATATCTGCTCAGCCCATTAAAACTATTCGGGGGTGGAAATGATTGGATTGGTTAAGCGGGTGAAAAAATGATTGGTTAAATTCAACAACAACAACAAAATTGTGGGAGCCTGGATATATCCAATGTGGCACGTGTGCTAAATGTGTTTGCTTGTATCTATATATATATACATCTATATTATGGTAAGTGAAATTGTTTACGAAATTAAAGAATGAACACACAATTATAAATAGAACTATATTTAAACTCTAAGCAAAGGTAGTTTAGTAGACACACGTATTATCGACATGTTTATATATATATAATGAGACTATTGAATTAGCAGCACTAAATGTGTATACATGTCATGCTTTTGAGTTGATGTCTGGATTGGTTGTCAAAATTACAAAAAAAAAACATTCTAATTTACTTAGCCTTGGCAAAATTTAGGTCATTTATCTGGTCTTATATATATATACATATATATGTGTGTATGGTTAGTTGTACAGTTGTCAACAATTTAAACTTAAGCACACGTTATGCAATATTCATTTTGATTCATGGAAAGAACAAACAAACAATAAACATTATTATCATTATTAATTACTAATCCAGGTTTATAATATAATATTAGAACATATGGTACTAAACCACAGTTTAATTGTGGTGTGTTGTTGTGTGTCATGAGTCATCATTATTCAATGCAATCACAATTTCTATCATCGTCATCGTCATCATCATCATTATTATTAACAGACAGATCAAATATTACTCATTCGAATACTGATCTAATTATGGGAAATACTGTCCCGTCCTCTTTTCTTGAAATGAATTTAACCCAAACAGCAAATGGTTTATTAAATAATAATAATAACAATAATAACGGTGTGGATTTGGATCGTCAAACTCGTGTAAATTTAACAGATGATAATTCACAATGTAAATCACCATTATGGATACCACCTGTTACACCATATACATTACTTGGTTTATTAAAACCTCATTTAACACAATCTAGTTTACTTGTTAATAACAATACAACACATCAAATACAACAACAAACAAGTAATGGAACAATTATAAATACAAAATTATGTGAAGATTCAATAGGACATCAACCATTTCAACAACAACAACAGTCTAGTTTAAAACAATCACAACAGCAAATCTCATCAATGTCTGCTTATCTTTCGGAACTTTTGAATCAATCTCAAACATCGATAACAACAACAACAACAACGACTAGTGGGAAGAATTCAGTACATGGTGAGTTCAAATTGTTTTATTGTTATAGTATTTATTTATATTGATGTTTACATGTAGTTAAAATCACATAAAGTTCAAACATTTCGCCATTTACTTAATAGGTGATTGTTACATATTAAAGTTTATGAACACACTACTGTAGAGCGCATACACAACATTCCAAATGAGAATAAAAAAGTAAATAGAGTGAAAGTTATAGCTTGTAATGATGATGTTTTCAGTGAAATTTATGCTCTTATATACAGTATTTACTCAATAAGTAGATGAATAAAAAGATGCCTGAAAATGCTCGATACTTCATGTATATTGAACATTGAAAAAACAAGACACGCTGCAAAACCATACAGATATGTATTTTATCTCCTTATTGTGTTAAGTTGTAACAATTCCCATGTACTTAATAAATTGTATGCTGATAAATTATAAAATGACATTGTGCCATTCGACAAACAATTAATATCTAGTCCTAGTTGAAAGTTGTGTTACTCATCTCAACAGTAAACCAGAGAAATCATCCATCAACTTCCAAGGTATATGACACAGTGATAATATCATTGTGGGTATAGATCTGAGTAAACTTTCATTTGGCTTTTTTCTTTCAGTCATTTGCTAATACACACCAAAACAAATACTCATTTTATTTTATTTTTAAACTGATGTATCTTAGTCGGAATTGGATGGATAGAATATGACCGATATATATATTATCATCTATAGGTTAGTCTATATAAATTTAAGTTACACCAACAATATAAAAGTTTTAAATCGTTCAATGTAGGGAAATGTGAAAGATTACTTCTAGGTTGTATATTTCCATCAATTACACACTATTCTTTCTGAATAATTTTCTTTTCCAAGTATTATGATTGATTCTAAGATGATTTGTTAAATAGTTTTTCCGACATTAGGAGACTATAGTTGGTTTTAGCATCAAATGTCTTCTGGGATTTTCAATATTCATAAGCTTTGTTATATTCATAGCTTCACTGAATGCACTGTGCTATCTATATTGTAAATAAGTTAATGTAAAGCTACAGCTTGTCAAACTGATCTTAGTAATCTTATGTATTTTATCGGAATTATAGAGAGAACTTTAAGAATCTTGGTAACGGTATATACGATATTAGAATTAATGATCAGATAGTATATTTATATAGAATTAATCTCGTTATTTAATTAGTACGGTGAGTTTAGATCACCAGTTCAAGTGTTTTGGTCGTATTTTGTTTGTAAGGTCTCAGCGGCTTTTTATTGAGCACTTCTCTGATATCAGTATTGACCAGGAACAAGTAAAGCAGTGATAGGTTTATTGAATCACAGATGGTTATGTCAGCTTTGTATCTGTTGTCGGAAATTTCAAAAAGCACACCATTAGGTAGTTGAAAGTTGAATTATACATAATTTAAAATCGAAGCCAGTGATTATCGTGTTATGGTGTTTTTACGTCTATTAAATAAACAGTAAGGTGTCTTTCTAAAAGAAATAAAATCTCTCTGCGTTTTACTTTCATTCACAAGGTGTATATCGATAATTTTATTGTAATTATCATACTACGCTCCCTTTTCTGTTCCATGACATGTCATCACATTGTTTTGGGTAGTCATCTCATTTTAGTTGGATTTTACATTGACAAAATAAACTATCTGATATTACATTTATTTTCTCGTAGTTTCCTTTGATGTATTCTTCAACTTCTATGCAGGCATATCTATTCTTAGTTTTGTTCCGATTATTTTTCTGGTCACTTTTTGATTTTGTTACACTATTTATTTGGTTAACTATTTCATAGTTTATGGTTCCAAAATCAACCATTTTTCATCATAGCTTTGAACATGTTATCACTGCTCGAAATTTATTTGTTTCTAAGTTATCTGATATTCTACTAATTCGTGGTCATTGTAGTTTTCTCCACTTTTTTATCGACCATGATAGTTCGATGTGTGACAATGTTATTGTAGTCACTATATATATTTGTATTTTTCTTTATTTTCCTTGATTAATTTTATTTCTCCACTTTTTAAAAGACAAGGTGTTAATAATAGTCTAATGTGAATCCTTAGATTCATATATGTAAACGGTCGTCTTCACTTAAATATTAGGAAATGTAATGAATTAATATATGTTCCATTAATCATCGATTTCGTTTTTTTTTCTTCATTTGCATTCCTTTCAAAACAATTTCAGCCTTATTACTGAACAAGGTCTATGGGTATTGTTCGATTTTTCAGCTTAGATTATGAATTGACGTCAGCTAAATAGATAACCACGGAAAACTAGGGAGTAACTGTTTCGTCATAGTACGGAACTTTTCAGTCGTGAATATCTACTAAACATTGGACTTCTAACCTTTAGACACATCGATTAGCGCTTAATCCTTATTCATTGAGTTAGAATTCACTGATTTACATTTTTAACTTCAATTGATTTGCGATATTATATGATCATCATCCATTGGCATTGATTATACCTGTCTCAAGCCTAACATGATTTAACTCCATTGATCATAGCTTCTCTCCCTTATAAATCAAACATTTCAATTATCATAAACTAGCATTTTAAAGTTGATTTTAATTATTCTATGCTATTTACTAGTTGAATTGTATCTAACAATTTATTAGTGCTATCAATGTTGTAATCAGTAAAGAGGTGTATTTAATTATGTAATACATTTTCTGTAACTCAATTGGCTAGATTGTCGAATTGTAACTTTATGTAAATGTACAAGACCCAAAAGAAGTTGCTTTCAGTTAATTCAAGGTTACAATACAGATTAGAATTGTAAAATCATACATATACTATATGTTGTTCTATTGAACAAGTATGAAGAGTTTTTTTTGAGAGAGAGATATCTTAACTTCAGTGAATTTTCAGTCAGTCAGTCAGTAACAACGTAGAACTTCTTACGTACGTACATCAGTTCGAGTTGTCATACCACATTAGCACAGAGATGCAGTTGTCGATTCAAATCCCGTAGTGGTAGACGTAGTAACAGTATAAGCAGTAATCGGAAACATTAGGGTTTGAAGATGTTATTCAAGGAGTATAATCCAGTGAAATAAATTTGGAAAGAAAATAAAGGACATGAAGAATTCAGAAGATTCGAATTTGGGAGAACAGAAAGAGTGGATGCACCTGAGCCATTGCAAACAATTTTGAGCCATGTCATTCAGGGTCTCTAACAATCGGTTGCTATCATCTTGCGGTCCCCAACCAAGTAGTCTACACCTATTAACATGACTCAGTCCACTTGTCAATGACTTCATGGACTTGTTCCATGTTTTGGTCTGACCGCCCCAATGAATTCTAAAAGAGATCATCAGTTCTCATTTATTTTTTAACTGTTTGCAGATACATTTGAACTGAAAAATGGGAAAAAAACTGACTGAAATCTTGGTTTCATAACTTAAAGAGTGTATATATTTATATTGTAATGGTAATGATGATGATGATATGGGGAATATTTAATCAATAAAATATAGTGTCATATGATCTAGAAACAGAAATATAAACAAAATGGGAAAGAAAACGTTGACTTTTAAAAGTCCCAATTAATTTAAATCCATAGGGAAACGATTCATACTACTGTTGTTGTTGTTGTTGTTGTGTTATTTTTCATTGCCTAAATGGAAATGATTTTAAACAGATCCAGCAAATATTATAAAAACCATAAGAAAATTGGGTTTGTTTTATACAAAGCTACAGAATATTACTAATCTTTTCTATGTACCAAATATTCTCTCTTTTTAAAGTGTATTTTATAAAAGTCTCTTTGACCTCCCTTGATCCAGTAATTCACTTTAATGATCTTTAATTTGACATCTACATAAAATTTTGAAGCAAATATAAAAATAATTGGGAAAGTGTTAAATAATTTATCATTTCAGTTTTGATATAACGGTAATCAGAGGAGTACCATGTGTAAATGTATTTACACGGGTGAAGAAAATCATTCATATGTTCTGCTTACCGTATTTTCACTGCTATTTTTTTCTAACATTGAATCACAATATAAATTTCTGACGTTTTGTGCCTTGATGTTTAACTCACTTAAATTTTCAAATCAGTATTTTCAGAATGGAGATTTTTGGAGATTGTAGTAATTTTAATAGTTAAATTTATGAATCGATCTAAGCTAGACTACCATTGAATATCTGAAAGCACTGGACGGCCGTCTCGTTCTAGTACGGGACTCCTCAACAGAGCTCATTTACGATCCCGCATGCGCGACGCAAACACTTAACTTCTAGACCACTGAGTTATCATCCAATGGTGTTAATATCTAACTTCAATCGATCCATAATCTTGCGCAACCCTTCGTCCATTGTCTGAGGTGGATAACTGTCTCCACCCAACACAAAGGTAGTCTAGTTTAGACCGACTCATGAATTCAACTATAAAATTCAGTACCTACTAACTTTTTAAATATAGGTTTATGTACTTGACTTATAACCATGGGGCTTTTGTAAGATGCGGTAAACTACCAAACTAATATAATCTAAAATACAATGTATTGTGTAGAACTGACTGCATGTATGCCTGAACACCGACTATCATGACGCGCAATACTGACTACTGTTGGGGATGGTTAGAAGAAAGTTAGGGGCGGCCAAACCAAAACGTGGCATCAGTCATTGAAGTCATTAACTTCTAGTCTTAGCCATGTCGGTAGATGCAGACTACTTGATTGGGGTCCGCGTGACTATCGTAACCAATGATTGGAGACTCTGGGTGATATGGCTCAGAATCGATCACAATAGCGTCGGTGTATACACTCTGTTCTCCCTTAAACTATGAGATTAAAATTGCTTCATATCTTTCTACAAACTAATTCTTCCTGTACTATATCCTTATATGCAATCTTTCTTTTATATATTACTACCACTGAATTAACTACTTCTATGAATCCGGTGTTCATTTTGTTGTGCTAATGAGGTATGACAACTTGGATCGATGCATATATGTGTCTGATCCTCCGTTGTTGCTGACTGACTGCATGTATG